AGCAGCGAGCATTCTGCACCTTGCAAGCCTCATCTTCCAAAATTAATTCTGCAGAGCCATGACTACTCAAATATTGTCCTTTAGTCATTTAAAAGTAAATGTCATGAGAGATATGCATATGCAAATATCTCTAAAGACTTAATAGAGGAAACAACCAATACATTTGGCAAAGATATGAGAGGCAACAAGACTATAGCTGGAGAATTGCTGTATATCGGAACTGAAATGTTATCAGCAGAGATGTGTGAGAAAGTTTGCTCCTTGCCTAATTAGTGTGTGGTCCTATCTTAATTCTTCCACCCTGTGAACCTACAAGCACACTGATCAAGCTTTATGGCAACAGTGGAAAGAACAAACAAGCAACTTTCCAAAAACCACAGAAGACCATTACAGGACAAAGACATTCCTATGAACTCCAGATTGAAATGGAGCTGTTTCACCAGATTGGGAGGCGACAGATCAAAAGATAACTAGCTCTGAAAGGTTTCTGAAGAAAACAGCATGAGGAAGAGCAGTAAGTTGCAGAGGGTGGTCCAAAGTCTTATTCATGACCTGTGACAGGAGAGAAAACTGCTATGGATAGTTAGGGCTGGCCTAAACCATCTGGCGAATGTTAGACTTATCTATTTTCTGTCCAAAAATTGTTGTTTGTTCAGAGCAGGCAAAAATTCACAGTAGCAGTTGAGTCTATGAGCTACTAAACTTTCAGCTTTTTGAAATGAAGTACTGTGAGATTTTGCCTTGGTTCTGTCTAAAATTCTATCCTTAATTCAGTCTTGGGCAAGACACCCAAAATGATCAAAAATCTGATTTGACTCTGAGCACTTTTTTTCCATTCCTATTGCTAATTTAATTATTTATCTTCTTTGTCTTTATTTTTACTGTCTGAATTATGGCTTGACCTCTTAAAAAATAATAATAAAGTGGTAGTTACTATGGACAGGTGGTTTTTAATTCTAATGTAACAAAAATTTACAGTTCTACTTTATTTTTAATAGAGCAGCAATTTGTTTTGCTATAGTGGGTTCACTTTTCTGTGGGGGACAAAGGGAGGCAGGGGAGAAGGGTGAAAGAGAAGTTGGAAATTTGGTGTTATATGTGATCCAATACATGCAACATGCTTCCCTTAGTTTTCCTGTGGTGGTAAGCTTTCCAGTGTTTGCGCTTTATTGCCTTTTAATTATAGCTTATCTCACAAGCTGGGGGTTCACTGAGCATGCGTTTAGCCTAGTTTGTTCTTCCTCTACATGTTCAGAACTCCCTTTGTTCAGTATTTTCAAGTCCCGATGTGCAGACTGCTTTACCTGGCCTTAAGGAACAAATGAGGCTTTTAGCCATATGGTGGTGCCACCAAGACCAGTGCTGCAAACAAAGTGCTCCCAGCTGAGCTGTTCACCAGGAGCTGCCTGTTGATGCAAAATTGGGAAGGAAATTGCCAAGCAGTGTGTGGATATTATGCTCAGGCTGTTTTGCGGCAACACTGTTCACCCACTTATTTTCAATGGCTGCCAGAGTTGGCAGCAACAAGGGACATGTCCTGCTGAGGGAAAGGGAGGAAGACTTTTTCTTCCTTCTGCCTCCTGACCCATCCGCCTGGCTGCTAACCTCCGTGGTACTGTTTGTCATCTGTGGTGTGGGAATCACGTCACACGCTCATACAGCAGAGGGGCTGAGCTCATCAGTTCACATTTTTATTATGTTTGGGGATGAGACATACATAGAAAAGCATATTGCTACCCCTAGAAATATTACCTATGCTCTGCAGGTCAGAGGAACAGACACTGACAGGGAAAGTTTCCTTGCCAGACACTGGGGAGATACGAAAAGCTGTGATACGAGGGTGGACATCAACTGGGTTTGCCAGAAACATCCATAGACTCTTGGGGAATGAAGGAAAATAAATCATTAAAGTATCATTTAAAGTATTTATGGTATCTCTCAGGAACACTTTCAAGGGTCAAACTATATCAAATTTGAAAACCATCTAGTTGAGGCAGACACTGAATGTAAATGCTTTCTCACATTAACTTTTTTAGATGGCATCTAAATCAGTTGATTAAGTGAGCTAAGCCAGGCTGAGTGTGATTTGATCCAGTTTGCCTTTTCAGTGTCAAGCATTTTGTGCTAGCACTGATGCCAAAATCTCTTATTTTGCTTTGATCTCCCTAGAGCTCCCAGGGTCAAGAGAAGGTGGAATAGAGGCAGCCTTTAGGACAGCTAAACTGAATTTCTTGGGATATTTTTTGCAGGGCTATTTCAGCTGGTAAACTGAAGCTTGTCACTGCAGCATTGTCTTAGCCTTGGCCAGTTTATCTCTCTCTTTTCCCTGCTGCTGCATAGCATTCTAGCACACTGTTGCAATTCAGTGGTGCTATATGAGCAGGAATTTGGGACTTAAGGGCTAAATGTGTTGCTGAATATGAGTATAAAATATGATTACACAATACTTAATTAAAGATATGACTTAATTAAAACATTTATAAGGAAATAAGTTCAGTGGTAGTGAATTGTTTGCATCTCCATCAAGGCAGTAGTAATGTACATTATACATAATAGAAAGGATTTTAGCAATTAATATTCAAATAAATAGCTTCAAAAACAAATTCAGGTGTCATGGACAGTTTAAGCTGTGGCAGTTTTAACATACAATTTTTGAAATGGAGATGTAGCTGTAAAGGAGACTGATGTCTTGAGGAAGCATTAGCTCAGGTACTTCCAGGCAATGGAATGTGCATGCTTTGTTGAAAGTTTTCTGTCCTTTAGTAGAAAAAAATGGAAGTCAGGAAATTAATTGTAAAATGGTTGTATCTCAAGCTGTGCTGTGAAATCCAGTGTGTGATCTGAAAAATTATGGAAAGAGGTCTAAATTGTTCAGTTTTTTAATCCAAATGTAAACTCAGGAATTCTAGTGAATTAATTCTGATATTCCTTCCTCTGTCTGTTTTTAAGTAGTTTTCTATAAATAGCTTTATAGTTGTTTGTATTTCACTGCACCTCAAGAGAAAAAGGGATTGAGGTTACTTTGAATCAGCACAGAGGTAACTGCGGTACATTCAGCGTAACTGAGTTATGAAAAATGGAATTTTTTTGGAGGCAGTCTCTATGACAAACAGGAAAAAAATAGATATCAGTTGTTCAGATGAAAATGGTGACATAGGCTGCATTAGTAAAGAAAAGGCACTAACAAAAGGCTGCATGCACTCTGTTGCCTCACAGGAAGTAGGGGCCCAAGAGCAGCTGTTGCCATAGTAACAAAAAGAGCAAGAGGATTTGCACTTCTAAATGTTTCAGTGCACTCTTAACCAGGGGTTAAACTGGCCTGAAAGAGCAGCCCCACCATATTCATTTTCATTTCTCGTGAATTGTATACTTCGCCTCACTGCTTCAGAAAGTTATATATTGTAGTGCTAGGTCACTGACTACATATGCCTAAAGATTTTCTGGACCCAGTATAAGCCTAGTTTTTAGATTATGTAGCAAACTTTCTGCTATATAAAATCATGAGGTTGAATAGGTTGCTGGGTTTGGTGGAAAACATTTTTCAATACCATAATCCATAAATTAGGCCCACAACCTATAATACACCTAATTTATCCTAGGTTAACTCTACTGAAATAACGTATTGGACACCCTAAATCTAATGTTACTTCTTTCATCCCTGATTTCATCCTGTAAGTATCACTGAAGATTATCCTTTTGGATGCTCGTTAATACAATTTCTACCTTTAGTGAATTTTATCTCGCAAAAATACTGTGCGTTAATCCTATCTAATAAGCTTCCCATAAAATGACTAGAATAAGATCATCATCTTGTAACAATCAGGACATTTTGAGATCCAGAAGATGCTGCCCTGATTTCATTTCTGTTTTCAAAAGTTACCTATGGTTTTAATAATGGTATTATCTTTTAACATTTCAGATCACAGTATTTCGCATGGGATCAGAAGGACACCAGGATATTGATTTAGCTATCCTGACAGCATTACTGAAAGGTAATAGAGTTTCACTTCACAGTGAGCCTGTAACAATCCAAATGGATTAACTCGGTATCTCTGCTGTCCTGGAACCTGCATTTATTGACAATATATACCATACTGAGGTAGTAAATTTTTACCATGAAATTGAAGTATATTTTTTGCTCCAACTGCTTTATACAAATCTAGCTCTTTCTTTAATGTTTACACAGCCACTGATTTTCCTTTCTGAATCTTTATTCTCCAACCACAGTTCCTAATGTGTCAGAAGAAACATCAGTGGTCAGGAAATGATAAAATATTGTTATTTCTTTGTCATTTTAAAATACTGTCATATTTCCTTTTTCAAAGCATGTTAATTCAAGAAATCCATCTTGGTTAGTGATTCATAACCACTGGATGGCTGGCAGAGTTTCAGACTACCTGACCTATGATAATTTAATGGTGACCTCCCCCCCCACATACACTATTTAGATATTTATAAGATTAGTACTCATGAGTAGACAGCCAAAGAACTTTTCAGTATTAAAATTATCTTCATGGCTAGTAGAAACTCCAGAAAGTGACTCTCTCCCCTTAGATAAAACTGGCACTATAGTAAAAGAAAAATATCTTTATTTCTAATCCTCCTGGGAGAGTCTAGGATGGAATTTCTTCCATCCTCTGCAGATAGAGCTAAGAACTCGACTATTGTGTTGATAGCAGTTATAATCTTAAACTTCACAGTTTGCGAAGTCTTTCTAAGCCCTTACGTGTTATGCTTATGCTCTTAAAAGATTGTCTTATGATAAATCTGCTCTTTCTTAAATATTTTCAAATTACAGTTCATTATGGGCCCTGATCTTGCAGACTCTTAGGCAATTAAGCTTGGCTCTCTTCACCATATGATGTTATCAGGTAACTGAATACCTGCTTGCAAATACAGAAAGAGGTGAGGTTCTGAAGGCTCTGAAGTACATGTACTTGCCTGCCTGATGAAGAACTACTCACCCAAGCAAAGGTTTGCAGGATCTAGCCCTCCATTTACATGGTATTTCCCCAGATGGGGGTTTTCATAAATGCATGTGCAGTAAAAATGACTTAAAAATCACCATGGTCATCTTGTTGTTCGGATTTCATTGCACAGTCTATACCGATTTTAAAAACAGAGAATAAAAAAATACCAAACAATTTTAAAGCACATTTCTGAGAATTATTAGGGAATGGACTTCAGAAGGTGACTGGGGAAAATTATGTTTCATGAAGCACTTCAGCAGCTGTCATCAAGCTATTGCCACCCCCACACCTGAGAAAGAGGATACATACTGCCATGTGGCAGACTTGAATTTGAGTCATATCATAAAATTTAATAGAACTACTGGGTATTCAAAAGCTAATGGGAACTGTTCTTGCTTGTTTCAGGGCTCAGTTTTCTTCTTGGTTTCTTCCTGTGCAGGCTGACAGAAGCGATATGAAAAGAAAAGGGAGAAGGCCTGAATTACTTTCACCTTACCAAGCAAAAAAGTATTTTACCTTTTACATAGTTTTTAGTCTCATTGCATAAATGCTACTTCAAACCAAAAGTCTGAACAGGAGGAATAAACAAGCACTGTCCACCTTAAAAACATGATTGCAAGTTGATAACTACTAACAGAAGAAATGAATTGGGATTATTTTACTCCAGTAGCTTTTGTTTCTTTAGGCTTTTCTACTATCACTTGCTCCATTTCTTTCTTCATCTTGATAAAAATGCCAGTAGTTTGGCCTGTAGGTAACATGACTGTTTTGCTGCTACCCTCAGGTAGCAAGTTTTAGACATCCGTGTAGTTAAATCTCAAGGCATTTTGGAAAGGAAAAAGAAATTAATTCAAAGTAAGAAACCAGAATCACATCCAACACCACATTCCTTTTTTCCTCTGCACCTCCATCCTTAGGAAATATTTTAATTGCAGATTTCATTTTGATCTTTAATATAACTAGATCCTTCATTATCCTCAGTGTACAGTGTACTGACTTAACATTTGCTCTTAAGGCAATCACTGAGATTGCTGCTCTTGACTCCTATTAGTAAGATACAGCTTTTCTTCTTAAAGTTGTCATTCCACTTTTTCCAGGTATATTTTCAAGGTTTGAATCCCAACATAGATTCCTCAAAATTTTTAACCACCTTGAAAGCAATCCTCTCAGCAGCTGAAGAAAATAAATCATAGGGCTGGGAGGGATTGTTCTCTATTTAAAAAGTTCTTTTGCTGTATTTACACAAGCAACTGTATTGAGTTTGCAGTCTGGATATACATGTATTCTGCAGTAGTCCTCTCTGATGTAGGCCATCCATTTTGCAAGTGCCTAATTGATCCTGTCTTCTCCTTAGTAAATGAAATGTCCTTCCTTCTGATATCTTAGAAGGAGCCTGAATCTGCATAAGTAATGTTGACATCTCCTTTCATGCTTTCCTGAACTTCATGATTTTGTAATTTGCTGATGGCAGCATTTGTGTCTTGCTTAAGAGTCATAGGAGCTAAAAATTAAACATCATCTTCTCTGCTCCTCATCACTTTCTGATTATGAGGATACTCAGAGAAGATTAGATTTATCAGATGCTATTTTAGATCTTGTTAACCTGCACTTTCTGATCGCAGAGAATGAAAATACATATGAGTTTTTTTATCAATGTGTGCAGAGATGAAATCTCTTGTCTCAAACAAGTCAGTTGTCCTTATGCACACAGTGTCACTGCACAAAGGTTCTGGCCCAACCTGAAAGAAACACTGCCTTTCTGTAAATATACCCTTCATGGTAAAAAATCAAGATGATGAGTAGTCTGGGCTTTCATCAGATCAAGAAATTAAAGGTAGTAATGCTGAAATATTTGTCTAATTCAGTCTAACTACTCAGCAGCTTTGAAGAGTAGATCTGAATTATCTTGAAATTCATGAGTGTTTGGATTCAGGAAATATTCTCTTTCACCTCTTCAGAATTGTGTGAAAAAAGGGCAGAGGAAAGAATGAAACCAGTGTGTGATTATTGGTTACTTTTTCACAATCTCACTGACCAGGATTTTGCAATTCTTGCTTAATAGTATTATAGTCAAAATTCATAAAAGCTAATTACTAATCCCACCTTGGTGTGAGTGATTTGTCCAGGGAATAGGTTGAGGACAAGGATTAGGAAACACAGAGTATCTTTTCCTGCTTACTGTGTAAGATTTGCAATGCACTAATGTCTTTAATCCTGAATCAGGCACACTGCCAATGCAGGAACTCTCTTGTCCCGGATATTCCACAAACCACAAACCCTGCACTGAGCAGAAGACATTATTTCCATGTTTGTTTTCATGAACCACTTGTTTAATCTTGTCAGAAGCTCTATCTTTCTTGGAAGTGATCTCCAATAAACCAGGGAATGGCATCCAAACTGGTTATCGATATATATTGCATGGATGTCACAACAGCATATGGCTTGTAAATTAATATTATTTTTTTAATTCTGAGAGACATACAAATGTGGGAAGTAAGTTTCCAATTGCATGATTATGTAGCAAGTACATTTATTTGATACAGTTTAACTGTCTGTGCTCTCTTAACTTGAACAGTTGGAACTGAAACAGTAATGGATTTTTGTCCTTTTGCAGCTGCATAGCTGCAAACACATATGACAGGGAAGTTAAAGGCAACATATTGCAATGTACTAAAATATTGTTTTGAAGGGGCATCAAAGATCCTAGTTCACAAGGCTGTTGCAATGTCTACATCATACTAGCAGCACCAGTCATGTTTCAGCTGGTACTCCAGAAGCCTTCCCAGTGCAATCGTTAATATTTGGAAAAAAGATGCTGCATGGTACATGCTTATTATGATATTACTGCCATGTAGCCCTATGAGATGAGCCATGTTAGGCTAATGCAGACCTGATGTCTCTGCATGCCTTCCAGCCTGGGAGTAAGTCATGATTCATGCTCACTGAATAGCCGTCATGTAGTATCAGATGGTCCTGGAAGACACAGTGTGATGGTCTGTCAACCATGAAATCCCTGACACAGAAGGATTAATGTTAGCTCAGTCCAGTATGTTTCAGAGTTAGGCCAGATGTCTGGTAACTGCCCCTGTAGTTGTTGCTATCAGTTTTGTTATTGCCAATTGATTTGTTAAATGCCAGGAAGGTGCTTGTAGCAAATGCAGTGGAAATACAGTTCTTTCTCCAAAGAGCTTGCAATCTGTGAAGCAGAAGGCAATATAAGACATACTGAGATGCAGAAGAAAAAGTTAATTTGTATTTCTATTTTTCCTAATCTAATTCTTTTATTTAAATGACACTTCAAAGAGGTACCGAGGTACTTAAAAGCATTGTGGAAATGAGTCTTCTGGGGTTTCCAACAATGATCGCTGTCTAGATAAATCAGTGTCGTGTCAGTTCGGCTTTCCAGATTCCTGACCACTAAGTACCATAGACTCTTCCTAGAGAATCCATCACAGGTTTTACTTTGGTCACAGTAAAACTCAGTCATTTTATAAAAACCTGTAGTGCATCTCCTCAGTAACATGGGATCCTGCAAGGGCACAATACTTATTTTCTGACTTGTACCCTGGCTCACCTAGGATACAGAGTCAATTTGATGGTCCCAGACTTTATCATCAAGGTGTATTGCATTTTTGGTCCAAGATATCGGATAGATCATCTGATGTGAATGGAATTTTTACCAGATGAATCTGTGCAAGAGATCTGAGTTCATCCAGAGCTCGCTCTGGATGGCCAGCCTAAGAATATACAGTTAATACCTGCAGGAACTAACAGCTGTCACAGATATCCTCCTTGCTCATTCAGCTTCTCTTGCTTAATATGTATCCATATCTAGCAAAATCTACCCTGACATAAAATACTGCCAAAGCAATGCATTACATCCCAAATGGAATTTTTCTTCTAGGAGCAGATGAAGGGAAGGAAGAACCACACGGCAGATATTAGTCATATTGTCTTGTACATTCTTTCAAGGGACATATCTTATGTTCTGCCAGACATTAGAATATTAAGTAAATATTATATAGACATTGGTCATGTTGCCTAAAACACTATTTCAAGTAATAAGTATACTATGGTAATTAAAATAATACAATGGAACAAAGCAGAGAATCTTTCCATGAGATTGGGTAAAACAGAATTGTGAGGAGAAGAAATGTTAATTTCTCACCACTGGCAATTTTAAGGGCCTAAGAAGTCATTCCAGTGTGATCCTCTGGTTTGAGCTGATAAGAGCAGTAGGTTATTAACTCTGCCTTTTTCCTCACAAGAGTCACTTTTGGGGTTCTTCTTACTGAGTCAGATCAATGAATGGTTTGTGACACCTACCGCAATCCTTACTCACAGTTTTCCCACTGTTTTCCACGGCAAAGATGAAACAATATCTTAAGACAACCCACCTCACTTTTGTTCAAGAGAATATTTCTTGTATTAGTGGAATTATTTTTGCTTTTTAATGCCAGGTAGAATTTAACTTGAAATAGCCTGAATACTTTCTTTTTTCTGTTAAGTCAAAAGTCATCAGTGCATCCTGGAATAAAATCAATTAAACTGCATCCCCAGCCCATATGCTATTCTGCATAAATTCCCATAGCTTTTGTTTTGTTTCTCCTCTCATGTAACACCACCATAATCTAAACTCACCTGAAAATCACAGAAGACAGCAAAACAAAGATAAAAGTGAAAGGATTTCCTAGCAACAAAAGCTCTCAGAGCAGCCCTGCTGCTGGGGCCCGCTGCCCTGCCACGCTCATGAAAGGCAGGGCATGCCGGTGCTTCCTGCCCAGGCTCTGCTAACTGTGGGACTGGTCTGGATGTGAAGTATAAAAACCCCTTGAGAAACCATATGTTTCCTCCGACTATCAAATGTTTCCAGCACTCTGCTAGATAATCAAAGGAACCATTAGAGTAACCAGCACTGAGAAGAGCATTGCCTCTGGGACCGCACAGCTGCCTGCAGGAAAACCCTTCTGCAGCGAGCAGCTTTGCAGGCTGTGGAGAGAGGTAGAGGCTGGATCATGTCTTGCTTTCCCCTCTCCCCAATTTTTGGAGCAGTAAACATGCACAAGGAAAGCAATCTTAATTAACTGCTGGGCTTGGGTTATGTTCAAGAGGTGCAACCACTCCAGGCCCCATGCCTAGTGCTCTTCCCCGCGACCACACAAACCAGGCGGCCCCATGTTTACCCAACAACCCAGTCCTTCCCAAAGCCATTCCTGCACAAAAAAGCACAAAAAGGCCCAGTAGCACTAGGCCCCTGGAGAAAGCTCCTTGCTACAGGTCAGAAGGTGTTTCCTTGAAGCCACGCTAAACCTCAATGCTTTCGGTTGAGTTTGGCTGAACTGGGGATAGCATGTGTAACCCCTTCTTCCCCCCAACCCATTTTGCCCCCTCTTCATCCAAAACAATCTCTAACCAGGCAGCTTCCCCAGGTACCCAGACCTTACTGCTGCAGCCAGTTTAGCAAAGTTAGGAGGTGGATCACCATCGCCATTCCTGGGCTGCAGAGTTTGCCTGCATGCCTCAGCTGCTGCCACCAGGTACCTCACCTGAGCACATGGCGAGGCTCTCCCTTTCCTTGCAGGCACACAGATGGGAAGGAGGAGGCCCACTGACATTTTGAGAGGATCTTCTGTTTGTCTGGGAGCAAGAGAGAATATTATTTATTCTCTGGGCAGGTTTTTTCTGGTTTTACAAATAGAACTGTATAGACATTTTTGCCCCCCCCAAAGGTGAATAATTTCTATTCTTGAATGTCATATGTTGCTTACATAAGAAACTCAAAAAGGTTCAGATGTCGTTGGGGTGCCCCATGAGGTCTCCCATGAGAGCTTTTGTCTGTATCACAGTATAAAGCAAAAAGAATCTTTGTCTTACACACAGGGCTGTTCTTGTCACTTCTTAGCTGCAGAAAGGTGGTTTTCTCTTTTCACTACTTTGTTTTCCTTTTCCTCATTTTTATCTATCTATCCTGCATCACCTGACTTTTTTTTGGAGCTCATTTCTGTAATAAAATGAAAATTATGTGGCTGACCTACAGTCCTCCCTCTCCCAAATAATTGCTTTAGAAATTGCCAAATATTTGGCAAATTTTCATGGCAGTAAACTGACTGAAAAGTTGAGAGTTTTGGAATTAAACTGTAAGCTAAGCTTTCCTGAGGTCTGCTGAACTGATCCTTCACAGGATTTCAGCAGCCACCATGCCATATTACACTGTATGCTTTCTGTGCCTCTGATTTCAGAGTCTGCATTCACAGTTTTGATTAGTATGGAAATGGGAACAGAACTGTTTTCAAGTAATGTAAAGCTCTTATTTGTGTTCACTCCATGAGGACCATTTTTCAGTATAAGAATATGTGAAGACAAGAAAAAAGTGAAGGTATTAGGCCTTTTAAAAATGAGCCTTTATACAATCATCTAATCTCTATAAGCAAGCATGTAGTTAAAAGTCAAAGGTCACTTTATTTATTTGGTTGATCAGCTCATTCAGGCCAGTTCCCTCTGTGACATCGAAGCACAAATACCATTTTGTTATTATAAATCACCTAATAACCATGAAACTCCTAGTGAAAGATTTAAAAAGCACAACAGGGCAGGAATGTCCTACAGCGTCCATTAAGACTAAAGGGAAAAACATACCCTGCCTTCCAAAAACAAACAGCTCCAAACCTATCCTATCATCTGCATAGTTTTTTATTTAATTGAGATATATTTTACTGACACCAGCTCTATGACATGCTTGGTTACATGAATATCACATGTGTGAGGGGAAACGTTCCACCAGAATCATTAAGTGCAAACAGGTAGAAGATAAATCCCTATGCTGGTACAGAATCCTCCCTTATCAGGCAGGAATACATAAAAGATGTGCATAAAATGCATGTTTATTTAAATAAGGGAGTCCATGTGAGTTGAACTTGTTTGTAGATGCACATGTCTGTGTATGTATGTGTGCAGGTGCACATGCACATGCATACACATATATATAAATGTGTGTGTGTGTATGTATATATATATATATGTATATATTCCTGCAACTGGAGCAGGAGCACTCTTGAAGTCTATTTCTGCTTCCTCTTTGAGTGGAGGGAGATCAGCTCACTCCACTGCAAATGAATCTGCCAATGTAATATCTTTTCAAGGGCATTGTAAGGTAATTATTAATGTCAATGAGACAATTTGAGAACTATAGATTTAGATTTGAGAACCAGTATTTTATTACAGGGACAAGAGAAGGTTTGGGTTTGTTTTAATTTGAGATTAGTTGCAGAAATGACATGGACATCTGTGAGACTTCTGACTAAGAGGGATTATTATGGTGGACTATTGACTGAGTCTAAAGTATGTCTTGTTTTTTTTTCTCCTCCTCTCTTCCCTGCACCCCTGTCTATATACACAGGAGCTAATGCATCTGCTCCCGACCAGCTGAGCCTAGCATTAGCCTGGAACAGAGTAGACATCGCCCGCAGTCAGATCTTTGTTTATGGGCAACAATGGCCGGTACAGTATATATACAGCATCTTCTACTGAAAACATTTTAAACCTTATGCAACATTAAATGCTTTTTTTTTTTTGGTGGTGGTGGTTTTGAATCAATTTTGTGAGGGTTTAAAATATACTGAGTCATGTTCTTAGTCAAACACAACATTCCTATTCATAGCTACCGAAAGCAGGCAAGGTTACAAACATGCTAAAATGTTCGCTTGTTCAAGGAAATGGTGACATCTACCAATGCCTTAATGCCGAAAGACCACACCTTCAGAAAGATAGGAAATAACACATTGATTGTTTTAAAAAATCATTCTGAATACTGAGAAAAACAAGTGTCTGTTCAAAGCCGTGGTAAAATAAAAAATGGCTATAAATTAAAGGAAAAGCAAAATTTATTTGGGCTCTTCATACTATATGTTTTTATATACTGAATTTGCTGATGACTGGACATCAAAATTATGCTGCACAGATGTTGGAGGTCATTAGGTGGACCAGGAGAGCTGAGCCCTGACGGTACCACAGTAGTGCTGTGGCTCCAAACCCAATTTTGTGCCCAGCGCTGCTAGACACCAGCCTGCCTGCTTCGCCCCGGCTCCAGCTGTCGCCAGCTGTGAGACAGGCTCCCCTGGTCAGCATCTTCCCTTTGAGGGGCCACTGTGGCCAGGCTGCTCAGCGGGAGAGCTCTGTGAGAGGGCTGTAAATATACATTGAACCCACACACACACATTGAACTCTGTGTGGGGCAGCGGAGCAGTAGTTTCCCATGCTACAACTCCATCTCGTGGAGTCACCCAGCAAGACCAGAGAGACCCGGCCTCCACCCACCACACCTTAAACCCCCCCACATCTTTGTTCAGAAGGTTTAGCTGGATCACCATATTCAATATCATGACACTTCTTATGTCATTTTCATGAAAAAATTCATATGCTAGCCCCATCATTATATGAGCGTTTACATCTCCCCATGGAAAAATTATAGCAAAGGAAAATTATTTTGTTTCAATATACTTGCTTTAATTGTAGTTTCTGGAGCTTGCTGCCCCTGAAAGCTGGGATTTTAAAAGATCCTTACCTTTTCAGCTATAGAATGAACAGGACTATTTCTCTTGCCTTCAATATTGGGCATAGGCATGTAGCAACATGCAGCAGAGATTTAGATGGTACTAAATTGCCACTGCTGCTATCGCTCCATCACCACATCATAGTGACAATTTTTGTAAACACTGTTGCCTGCAATCGTTTTGCAAGCTAAAAGCTGTAACTATGAAGTACCTTCTCATCTCTTCATCTCTCACCAACCTGAAAGAGATAGAAAAGAATGTTATGTATAAGAAGACCTCTTGCATTTTGCCCTTTGAGAAAATACTGTTTGTGAAACTGTTTCTGCTTTCTAACTTTCAAACTTTCCCTGAGTTTCAACATCACAAACTAAGGAGAAAGCTCATAAGGATTGAATTCAAGTGAGTGTGTGTGTATATATAATAAATATATCCAATATAAATAGAACGTTTGTCTGGAAAGCAAGAAATAAAGATAATTAATAATGAGATGCTGAATAGAGTAGAGGTGTGGTCACCAGTTTCCTAGGTTTCAGTTCCTTGCTGCTAATCTGAATTTCCTAGAGTATGTTAATCTTAACACTGACACTCATTTTTCTCTGAATCAGAGAAATCGATATAGACTACAGCTGTGATTATCTCATTTGAAGCTTAGCAAAGCAACCCTCAGGATTCTGGCAGGAGTTTCTGCCTATGCCAGGGTGACAGAAGCAGCTGGAAATGGCCTTCAGTGCCCAGGAACAGCTTGAATTAATCGCTTGCTTTGCAGGTGGGCTCCCTTGAGCAAGCAATGCTGGATGCACTGGTGCTGGACAGAGTGGATTTTGTGAAATTACTCATAGAGAATGGAGTAAGCATGCATCGTTTTCTCACCATCTCCCGGCTAGAGGAATTGTACAATACGGTAGGGCCAACCTAAGGCAAATTTTCTATCTCTGTATCTATTGTTTTAACTCCCATCCATATTATAATGACATGATGATGCACAAGGCAGCCAACATCTGCTGGGGACATTTTCCATATTAGAAGTCCACATTGTCTCTTAGCTTTGTCTCTCATGTAATGGAGCTCTCTGTGACTCACCCACTTAATCTCTCTGTATGTATTTTGTGAAACATAAATTAAACCCCACATACTACCAACTGATTTGTGGTCATTGTAATTCCAATATGATAGACCTTAGATGTAGGCAGACTGCACTGGCTGGAAGACAGTAACTGGCAAGTTAGCACCTGTAGGATGGTCATATATGACTCCTGAGACTCTCCATGGTTTCAGACAAATCTTGCAAATGTTAATCAAACTCGGACACCAGAAAACAAATAAAAGCAAACTGACTGGGAAGACATCCTGACTTTAAAGGTAAAATCTGGTAATTTCAGGAGACCTGAGTGACACTACAGTGAAGGACCTCCCTATGTTTTCACAGAATGTTCCAAAAATGATAGTTTTGACTTTTAAAACATTGTTTGTGAGTTTTATATCTTCACCCTTAAAACAAACATAAAACTGCACAGGTTCAAATTGCTTCTCAGTTCCCAACTCCAAAGCACATTCCAGCATTCATATCATAACTGGCTACTGGGAGAAACCAAGAAGTTAGAATTGCTTGAGTGGTATGGAAAAAAATCTTCAAGAATTGTCTAGCTCTTATGTTTGCTAGCTCTGTCTGTTGGAAAGAGATTGTGTTATAGTGCATAAGACTTTTCAAAAAGCTTTGTTTTGCCAATACTTTTCAAAGCACTGCCATCATTAGCTGCCACACTGCGGGCTGTTATCCAGAGATGTTTCATACTGATGGTGACCAGAAGTCAGTCTTTCAAAAATATCAAATATAAGAATTTATTAAATTTGTGCAAGATATAGAGGATCAGGTACCTGTGCTGCCCTAGAGCCAGAGATTTCCATCTGTTCTTTGATTGGCTTGAACTTTGCCTACCTACACCAGCATCTATGTATTAAAAAAAGAAAGCCTAGGAGCTTTCTCGCTACAGAGGTAAGCAGCGTAGTTCTTGTACCAAAGCCAATTTTTACAGGGAATAAGTTTGAGGAAAGTCTTCAGTTCTACAGCTAAAAGAAGACCTTTTAGAACAAATTTATTAAGTGAACTATAGAAATCACCGGAAATTATTCATGCAAGAATTCAAATAGACCTTGGCAGTGAAATTCCTGAACTACCAATAGTGGTATATGACATACCGCAGCCATAATAGCCTCAGCGCCAAAGGAATAAAAGCCCAAATAAAAAGTGCCAAACTTTAAAATGAGCCCTGAGAGTGACTTGGGAAACTACAGACCAGCAAGAGTGACTTCTGCCATGGCAAATTTGTACAAATACAATAAAGAACAGAATTAATAGACACAGGAATCAATCTTATGTCAAGGGGGAAAATTGACATGGCTTTTATAGAGAAGTGCCAAGCCTTAGAAATCTATTATCATTTTTCAAGTCAACATGCAAGAGAATAAGGATGATGCACTTGATACACTTGGATTTTCAAAACCTTTTGACAATGTTAATCCTTAAAGGTTTTTAAATAAATTAGGCTTCTCATGGCATAGAAGGTAAGGATTTTGTGGATTAAATACTACTCAAAGGATAGAAAACAGTGGGTAGGAATAAATGCTCAGTTTTCAGCATAAATGGAGGCCACTATCAGTCATCCAAGTGCCTGTGCTGGGACTAATGTTGTTCAGTCTATTTAGAGATGATCTGAAAAGTAGTGACTAGACAGAGAAGGGACAAGGGACCTGAAGGTGATGCAGGGCCATTCAGGATAGGCAAATTTGAAGTTGCATGTGAAGAACTGCAGGAAAGTCTAATCACACTGATTGGCACACATCAAGTTGAACATTGATAACTGCGGAGTAGTGTATGTAGGGAATCACAGACTGTGCACGTGCAGTGTTATTCTCATATCTATCATCAGTCACAGCCAAGGAGGCCTCCTATAAAAGTCTCTGAAAACATCAGCAACAGTCAAAAAAGTAACTGAAAAGAAAGTACTTCACACAACATGTAATCAAAATTGTGGGAGTCATTACCATCGGCTGTTTTGCATGTCAGATGGGATTAAAAAAGAATTGGACAAGCTCACAGACTATATGTACCATTAGTGGCCATCAGCTCAGATGCAACCTCTGGTGCAGGAGCGCTCTGAGCTGCTGACAGTGGGAGCTGAGGCTGTGGGCGTGGAAAGGCTGCGTCTCTCCTGCTGGTCTGCCTTCAGCCCCCTCCCAGTCTCTGTGCCTTGTTCTGCTCCTACCTAACCCTGTATGGCAGTTCTTGTGGTTTTGCTACAGAAGTGCTTTGCACAAAAAAGAAATTTGGTGAAATAATGCTCTTGTAATTGATTTTAAAATAATTGATAACACTATATAATTGAAGTGCTCTCAGTTGCCTGATTTTTAAACTGCTAAGGTGAGAAAGCTATTTCAACATTTATATCTTGCATGTTCTTTGGATAGCGCAAAAATATTTTATTCTTCTTTATCTGTCCTTTGCAGAGGCACGGACCATCCAACACTTTGTATCATCTAGTCAGGGACGTCAAAAAGGTAAGAGTCCAATAGATGGTAGGTTGGAGATAATGTCATGATTGCTTTTTTGTAGCTAGATACAGTCTCTGTTTTGCATGAGCTTTCAATCAGAGCCTTCTCCTTCCCCTGCCATATCAGAATGCTCAGTTTGAATGTCCTGAATATGAAGTTTTTGCATATAATGCACAATCAGCAAGTTACTTGGCTTACTTTCTCCATGGTTTTAGATGCTTCAGTTTTAGTGCTTCTGTTAGTAGAACTGTAGGCTTTTACATACCATGTGGATTTATGCTGATATCTGTATTTTTCCATACCTGCAGCTAACCTCAAAGCTAATTTCCATGTTGTTAATTAACTCCTGAGTCTGTGAAATATCCATTTTCCTTGTGCTGGATCCTAGTTCATTGAAATGGTTCCTCATGCTGTGTTGTGTGGTACATTGTAAGCGCCTCCCTCTGCAGAAGCGTACAAAAGAAATAGTGCAACTTTCCCCTGCCCCCTTGTCAAGTTCATTTCAAGCATCTTGAATTTGAATGACCCATTAAGAGGGTAGGAGAGAAATACAGAAAGATACAGTGACAGGAAGAAAACACCAAATACCTTTAGCAACGTGTTCAGGAGTAAAGGTGTTGCAGCAGCAGCAATGAATGAAAATCTCTTATCCTCTAAATATATAGATCAAGGAAAACAATTGAGTCTGCAGCTAACCTCATCAACCTGAATTTTCTCCCAAAGCATGTGGGGACATTACATAACATGGACCTCAAGGGTAGTATATTTGTGTAATGAGATATCTTTACATGGGAATAGCTAGAGAGAAGACAGAAAAAGGAATGGAGACATTTTGTAAGAGCACAGATTGGTAGTTTCTTCTGTCCATGAGAGCTGGGCAGAACTAAAGGGAAATAGAGGAGGGAAGTAGCAATGCCTCAGATACCATCTTTCTATTAAATAACCCTATATAATAATCAGTAGCAATGTTTAGGGAAGTTCTGATGTTTTTGTTTGTGTGTGTTACATGGCATCATCATTGCTCACTTATATGTAATATATTAAGTGACTATCAGAAAGTTTGAAATGTCTACAGAAGAATTTGAAACTGTTCTTATGCATAAATCCCCTTGGATGGAGCAGAGTAAAGCTAGAGTGTATTTAGGCTGGCTGCTCATCTTGAAGGGCAAGTTAATAGAATTTTTTCTTTATTAAATATGCAGTTATTTATGTGCCTTTAAATGTTTGAAACAAATATTATCTGTCTTCTTACATTAAAAAAGATTCCTTTTCAAACGTCTTCTCTCCCCCAACATCACCTTTTTAATACCCACTTTTGACTGAGTATATAGTAACAATATATTTTCCCAGAGTCCCTAATAAAAGATGTATTTTTAAAGGAGCATTTGAAAAGAAGGTATGAGAATAGGCAAAAAGAGGATCATTACTCATAGCTATACATTGACATACATTGGCATTAAATATACTTACATTCATATTTAATGACATTATTTTTCCACAGTAACTGCTAAACGTTAGGTGATGGTGATTTTTCCTTAAATGTATCTTTCTTTCCTCTCTCCACATCTGAAGCCTCAGTAATTCCCACTATGTGAAGTTGGTGTGTACTCTTATTAGAATATAGTTAAGGGCTTTGAAAATAAACAGGTCAGGGCAGCCCTCCAGCACCTTCATCAGAAACTGCACCACTGTGACTCTATTTCTCATTTTGTCAGTGATGAGGAACACCCACAGGTCACTGGGAAAAATCTGACAGCTTGACATAGCCCTGCCGCCCGAGCAATTACAGCCCTTCCCAGTCAACCAGGCTATAAATCAGTCAGCAGATCTGACATCAGTTTAAATAAAAACATCTCCATGGAAATAGCTTCTTAATGGACGTCATTATTTAACAGTTAAGTGCCTAACCATGCATGAAAACCAGACCACAGTGTTGAAGCTAGTTTTTGAGTTAATACACATTTTGAAGCTAGATACCTAAACTCTCAGATTTAATTACAGTATCACAAAGCATAAATACAAAAAATGTTTGAGATAACACTTGAAGGATATGCATACTCTGCGCTTTTATGCATGCATCCTAATTATAAAACCTGCACTATGCAAAAGAGTACATGCTATAAAAAGTTATTAATATATTAATTGTTGTGAATTCTGAAATAAAAAACATCTGCTTACAAATCATACATAGAAGTATTATTTAATTTACTGCCATTGTATTACATATCTGTATAAATCTCTGGGAGGTTTCGTTTTGATTTGAAAGACTATCCTGACTCCTTGGCATAGCAGAGAATTTGCGCAACAGAAAGGAAGTCACACTGCCACCATCCTGTCTGCAGCAGCTTACACACACACACCCACACACCCACACACACCCACACCCACACACCAATAGCTTATTTTCCTCTCTGGGTTTCCAGGTATCACGGTTAGCTCTGGGCAGCAAATTGCAAAGGCATGGAGAAACACGCTAAAAGACTTTACAGTAATCAGAGGGCTTAAATTCTGTATGTATCGATTAACCAGGCAAATTATTCCTCCAATGACTCTGCTTTAGAGAACTGTGTTCATCTCTCTTTTTGATCCTCTCAGTTTGGTACCTACACACGGGGTCAAGCCTGCCTGCATCGTCTGCATAATGTCCTTTTTGATATCTTATTCGGGGTACAGAGTTTCACATGGAGGGTTGACTTTCCTCCCTTGACTGTACAAACTGGTGCATTCAGAGCAAGAGGGAAGAAATAGTGGCTGTGCCTGACAACCTTTTCATAAGTGGAGGTTGCCCTCTACTGGTTATTTCAGAAAAAAAATCCTCCCCTGACTGAACTAGTTAACAAAGAACAGTGAAAATTGAGATCAATGTTTTTCTTCTTTATTCCAAAAATGGGTATATAATGACTGTGTCTTAATTCGCTCTCGGGTCATATATGTTTTCAAAGTCCTTTGCTCTGGACTACCTCTGGATTTCTACGTTTCCAGGGAACTAGCAGGTATTATATTGCTGTTCAGAATTTTTTAAGTACTATGTATTCCTCAGAATGCAAAATCAGAGGTTCATTCTCTGTTGAATATAAAAATATATATGAAGTGAAAAAGTACTATAATTGATTAGTTATGGCTTAAAAATGGAAGTTACTACTGGAAAAGAATAATGCATTAGCACTAGAAAGCTTATCTCAGCATTGATAGGTTAATTGATTATTAATCAGGGTACCTATCCTATCCCAAAATCAAATCTTCTCCTCTCTCATTCCCGACCAACCTGGCTCTACTTGAATTATCCCATTCAATTTTTTGCTGTTCTTGGAGGAGTTCTGGCCCATTCGCAGCAGCGTGCAGCTTTTACAAGCAGACTTATCACTGTTGTGGTAGTTCAGTGTGTCTGCTGATAGGGCAAACACTTTGGCACGTGCATAACTCCTTTCGCAAGGGTAGTCCAAGACTTTATCGTGGCTCCTCACTTTGGGAAAGTAACCCTGTGTTTGTTAACAGCACATAGCCATACATATATGTACGTCAGTATAAAATGTGTATTTCTGCTGTGCTTTTATGAATTTTCTTCAGTGAAGTGTTTCAATATTTTCTAGGAGATTCAGATACATCTTTCATTTAAGTTATTTTATTGGAACTTTGCATCTAAATCCCCCAATTAAGTTTTAGAAATCAGAACAACTATATCAAGAAAGTCAATTTTTCCAATATATGCTGCACCCTGTTGCCTGTTATGCTGGTTTTAATTGCTCAAATATTTCTTTGTCACTCAATAACTTCAAAGCATTCATTTTTAGTGTCTAATATTATTCCTGAGACAGCAAGAGTTTGCTGAAGAACTACAATACTAGCTTAGTTATTCCCACTGCTGCCAGTGCTTTCTTCCTTGTTCTAGTAAAACTTTCATTGCCTTAAGCATTCTGGAGAGAGGAGAACATTTCTGGGGGAAAAAAACAGTGCTTAATTTTTTGGTTTATGATGATTTTTCTTTAAACTGTTCAAAATACAAATGATTGATTGGGTACAAATAAGCTGATATGGTTTTGCAGGACATAGTGAACCCCCCATCAGATTAGCTAAGAGTAGGAAGAGTGCAAAGGGCTGTGCTAAGGGGCAGCACTGAAAGGTAGTTGGCAGCTTACATTTTGCCACCCAATTTGCTTGATATTTATCCCCCATCCCCTCGAATCCCAGCCCATTGGCAGGGAGAGCACAGCACAGCCCTGCCTCCCTCTCTCCCTCCCCAACTCTTCTGCACCATGGTGAGCAGAGATGGAAATAACCTTTGCTTTTCCTGGCTGAAGGAGAAGAGGAAGGAGGATCTTTGCCTCCATTTCATCTCTTCTGCAGCTATGTAATGGCCAGGTGCCATCTGTTCCCCATTAGTGCATCTCTGCTCTGAATCTAATCAGCACATCTGCAGAGAAGCCAGGCAGACGTGCAGATATTTCCAGCAAGATGCAGCAGTCATAAAATTGTTCCATGTGAATTATTAACCTTCTTGTGATGATCACATAAAGAAATCTACAGGCTAACTGTAATCTGTGCTGTATATCATTATAGCAAATGTGATTATTTTATTAGAGTGCATTGAATAAGTTTGAAGCTAAAAATTGCAATTTCCTGGTCCTTCTGCAATGTTGACCATTCAAGTTAATTTTTGACTAGACTAATTTTCTCTTTTTCCAAGGCTACTGCTCACAGTTTACGGAAGGATAATTTATCTCTTTTTCCATCTTTCATGCATAATCACATCCCTTGCACAATGACATACAGGACAGAGAGTTGTAAATCTGTGGTGTTCTTAACAACATCTCTAGATGTGGGTGACCTATTCCCGACTTGCTAAATCATGCCCTCTTTTCTGGTAGGGAACTGCTTGCTGAACAGTTCAGAGGCAATGATATGGAGAGGAAGGCAAATTTTAGTTTTTGGGCAATCCCTTCCCCTTAGCCCTTTTCTCCTGTAAAGGGATGATAATATTGCCCTTGTAGGCAAAATCTCAGAATTCATAACATCAGTGGTGCCATTTTCAGGCTTGACCATAAAGGGAAGGAAGAAATGTGCAACAGAGTACATGAAGAATGATGCATGATGATGACACTGAAAATTCATATTATATTTAACAGAGAATAAGAAAGGAAAAGAAATGGGAGAGCAATGATATAGAAGTTTTTTCCAGGATCCTGCTAATGACCCCCACCACAAACACAGTTCCTTTTTCTGTATATGGGACAAGAGCTCCTCGGCACTGCTGGAAATTAGGTTGCAAGATTACTGTGCTTAGAGAAGTTTTCAGTTAAATATTTCGGGAGTGTAAGAAAGTATCATCTAGGAAAATTGCTGGGCTTGTATTTTTCTTCTTGAACAAAACCCCAAAGTATTAGCCAAGAATGGAGTCACAAATTTTGTTTATCACAACTATCAGTGATATTTTCCTCACACTAGGTGTAAAATTTAAGCAAAGCTATTCATTTATTTGTGCATAATTCCAAAAGGGAAGCTACCAGACCCTCCTTTCCTCTAGAGACTAGCAATAACAGTAACTCATGCGCTGTCATCTAGAGTAGGTATGCTGATAAGGCAACTCTCTTTCTGCCCCGCCATTCCTCTTCTGAACTGTGGGAAGGAAACCTGTCAGGATGTGAAGATCACAAGTAGGAGCTGGTTTCATGTGAGCAAATGACATCACATGACATCACCTCAGTGGCGCAGCAGAGTAGATGAGGCAGCCCAGTGAGATGCCAGCACAGAAGATATGGGGGTCAGATGGTGCGGCAAAGGTGCTCTCTAGCAAGACTAGCCTTCAGCAATTGCGCCTGACCTTTCAAGTGTGCTGATCCTCCTGCTTTTTGTTCTGCAGTCATGTTCCTTGTTTCCCCAGCTGAAGAATATAAGTACTGTGTACTGATGTCGTCTGTTACTGTCAACAAGTTCTTCACCTTCTTATTTAACTTATGTCTTCTTTCCAAGCGAGAATATCCAGGTTTCGGTTGGATCTATTTTAAGGTGAATTAATTAACTAGCATAATAATACATTCCTCTTTTTAACTATTTTAATTTGTTTTATTCTAACATAGTTATAAAGTATATTGAACAATGCCAATAATAACCATTTTTTCCTCCCCCACAATCCTCTTTCTTTTCATTGCAGGGAAACTTACCTCCTGATTATCGGATAAGTCTGATGGATATTGGTTTGGTGATAGAGTACCTGATGGGAGGAGCATATCGCTGCAACTATACCCGAAAGCAGTTCAGAACATTATACCACAATTTATTTGGGCCCAAGAGGGTAAGGAGCAAGTTATTTGCCATCAGTATGACTGCACCCATTGGCAGTGAGGAAATGAATTACAATAGTTTCTTAGATGATTCCAGGTTGGGGACAAAAATCCACAGGCACACACTATTCTGTCTACTGATTCATTTCTATCACGTACTTAGCAGCTATTTCAATGTACTGCAAGTCAGCCCAAGCTGCAATTTTTTAGAGTTTGATGTAAAAATTTTTAGGTGGGGCTGTTCTGCTGCCTTGGTAAGACCAAGATATAAAACAGTCTCTTCTGGCTTTAAAATCTATAATTGGGAGTATCCATAGCTTCTGAAAGACCAGAGTCTTTTTATCTCTCCCAATAATACTGTAGGGCACTCAAGTTAGATTTAGAAAAAACTGTATTTTGATAGAAGCATTTCCTTGCTCAGGACTCATCTTCTTGACTGCCACCTGAAGATATCAGGACAAGGAAACTCATAACCCAAAATTAGCTTTATTGGCTGGATGTGGCTCCCATTGAGTCAGTGGGCTAATGGCAAAAATACTGTTCTGTATTTTTGAGGTTTTCTTGTTTGACAGGTTACACTACCATGAATCCAAAGTAAAATTACTATCCTTCTAAAACATAAAAGATATTCATTGTCATTCATAATGCAACTGACCCAATCCAACTCGAAGCAAAATCTGATCATGTTTCTAGTAAGATTTGTAACAGTGTTTCTTTCTTTGCCTATTTTTACTTCACAGTGTTGTTTCACGTCTCAGTTCAGATTTTAGCAACACACACTATTGAATATTGTTGTAAGTGACCATAAAGAACAACAGCTCTGTAAAACATTTACAGCCAAACATGTGAAATGGGTTTGTTTATTCCCCAATACTTCCTTTGGTATTATATTTCACTTTTGAGAGGAAGAGTAGTAATTTTCCGTGCTGGGAGAGACTTCCTTCCCTTAGCCACTCTGTCAAGAAAAGTGTACAAGTTGAGACTTCACAGACCCTGAGCCAGGCAAGCAGAGCAGCTTCATAGCTGTCAATAAAAGTATGCCAGGGAAATAGCCAAAATACTGATGCACTCCAGATAAATTCACTCATGCCAGCATCTCTTAGCAGTGATTCCTATTTCCCATCCACTAAACAGCCTCGAAACATCTGTAATTTGTGCCTGAATCCAAATGTATGTATGTCTTCTGTTCTTTGTTTTGTTGAAATAGGGCGAAACTCAAGGTTGACTTCAATTTATATTATATATTTATATAATGTAATTAATCATAGTGTAATAATATAATAATTTAATAATTATTATTACATAATATTTTGAATATTTTTATATACAGAATATATATCCATATAATTGGAATTTTTGATCATGCTTCTGGGACAAATAACATTTTTCTTAACTTTTTTGTACAGCCAAAAGCCCTGAAACTGTTGGGAATGGAGGTAAGTGACCTGCGATAAATCTTAATGTCTTCCCCTTTTTTAACAACTATATGTATTATCAACATAATGTTTAGATTTACAATAATGAAGGCACCAACAGTTGTTTTCAAATTTTAAATGAGAAAAAGTGCCACAAAAAGTGTATTTTTGATCCAGATAACTTGTTTATGCAAAGGCCAAATTAAGAAATGTTTCTTAATATAACTCCAGCAGAGAAAAAAGAAAAGAAGGGTTTTCCTCCTCTCTGCATCAGATTTTTTTTGTTGAAGATTAAACATTTTTCAGTTCATCAGTCCAAGCAGTATTTCAGTCAGATAACCATAAAGCTTAAAAAGATTTCAGAGAAATGAAGCAGTTGTAGAGCATGGTGCAGAAATCTTTACATGGGCAAATTTTTCATCTATTTTGTTGACTCTTTTGGCCACTCTGATGCTTCAAAGAGATAGTGGTGTTTGTTTGCTTGTTTTATACCATAACTTTCATTTTGCTACCCACAGATGTAGTACAGAATAGGTCAGCTCATCTGATAAAAGCAGTAGGCTAAAATGTGGCGTGAAAGAAAAATAAACAAGACAGTCTAGCGAGAGAAACAACATGAAGCTGGAGGAAGAAGGGATAAACATGGGATAGAAAGTAAGAACGGGAGTAAAGAAAGGAGATTCCTACTCTACTGAGAGGATAAAGGGAGAAAATGCAAACCATAAATAGGGAGGAAATGTTTAGTAGACTTGAACATCCCCTGGATATACCTTCTTTAGGTGGAAAGAGGTGGATGTGTCCCAAAAGACTCTATAATTAGAGCAAACTCTTAGCTTTATTTTAATGGTGGCTTTTCCAAAATTGTTTTGGACATTATGTGATTGTGCTTCATGTTATTAGGGAGAAGGAGCAATTTAGAGTGATAGCCCAAAGCTCTTTTTCCCTGTGTTTAGAAATGGGGGCACTGACTTACTAATTAATTTGCATGGAACAATTTTTTTTGTTATTTTATTGTGTGAAATATTTTATCCAAAAGAGCTGAAGGGGCTGGCCTGCAGGGAAGGTATTTGACATCTCAGGTATTGACTCCAATACATTGTGTGAATTGATTCAGCCCCTTTATTGGGAAAAAAAAACTTTCTCTACAATTCTCACAGGATGATGTCCCTTTGCGGCGAGGCAGGAAAACAACTAAGAAAAGAGAAGAAGAAGTTGATATTGATTTGGATGACCCTGAGATCAATCATTTCCCCTTCCCGTTTCATGAGCTGATGGTGTGGGCTGTGCTGATGAAGCGTCAGAAGATGGCCCTCTTCTTCTGGCAGCATGGGGAGGAGGCTATGGCTAAAGCACTGGTGGCCTGTAAACTGTGCAAAGCCATGGCCCATGAAGCATCAGAAAATGACATGGTGGACGACATATCCCAAGAACTGAACCATAATTCCAGGTGGATTTTCTTTCATGTATACTTTCTTGGGTAAAAAAAAAAAAAAGAGGAGCCTGCTGATCCTGCCAAAAATTTGCTTTTCTGTGCCTTTGTTTCACTTCTAAATTCCTTCAGAGAAAGTCTAAATGGCTTTTAAGCAATCTGTCTGCCAGAGAAGCAGTGTTGCTAGCAGTATAACTTCTGAAATGAGAAGGTGTCAAGAAGGCAATGAAATATCTATACTGCCTGTGTGTTGTCCCTGAGGCCTCAAGAGTCAGGCTGCAACCTTTTCTGTGCCTTTAAAAGCCACTCTGTTTATCCCAAGCAAAACGGTTGTTGAAAATCTTACGAACATGATATTCAGGCAGAAACAGTAATTAACAAAGAGCTCATGCTTAGGTGAACCATCAGTGAGACTAGATTTCATAATAATCTTTTCTGATATTAAAAACTGAGACATAAAAAATGGTGAGAATTTTAAAAAGAATATCGGACATTCCTTTTTCCAGGAGACTTGACCATAAAACCATGAGCAAGCAGTGGAGAAGCGATCCACGAAGCTGCAGACAGCCAGTGGGTTTCAACCAGAAAATGTCAGGGAGGTGGGCAGGCAGGTGGGAGCAGACATCTGGTAGGTGTGGGTGCTCAGCACTTCTAAGTTGGGCCACTTATTTATATGCCTACCATCAGTCACTCACATTTGAAAACATGGGTTTCCATGTGTACAGTCACCATCACGACTTGCGTGAGGGCAGGTGATGCACCCCGTGCAGAGGCTGTCGGTCACGGAGATTTCTCTTTGCAGCAGGCCACTCGGGCTAACACGAATGAACAAATGTCCCCCCATTGCAGGGACTTTGGCCAGTTGGCAGTGGAGCTGCTGGATCAGTCATACAAGCAGGACGAGCAATTGGCAATGAAACTGCTGACCTATGAGCTGAAGAACTGGAGCAACGCCACGTGCCTGCAGCTCGCAGTGGCAGCCAAGCACAGGGATTTCATTGCTCACACTTGCAGCCAGATGCTGCTCACGGACATGTGGATGGGTCGTCTCCGGATGCGCAAAAATTCTGGTCTAAAGGTCAGCACTGTTTTAAAATGAAATTAACAGTTAGAGCAGTTCTAATAGAAGGTAGTGAAGGCTCACAACAAATTAGAAACAACTGGATCTATTAACCACGTTTCGGCTGCTTATTTATAATGGCGTTAACTGGGATATATCCTTCCTGTGTTCAGCTTTTCAGCAGGGAGATTATCACAAACCCAAGTTCAAAGCATATTACTTAGATTTTCATCACCTTTCTCAAAGCCCCCTCCAGCATCAGCGAGAGTTATCAGAGTAAGAATTGCACCAGCAGGTTAGTATGTCACCCTGCCTGGATACCTGAGGGGTTAGCCAAGGTTTCTAAAGATAAATAAAGAAAAAGTGTGTGTAAGTGAATTAACTGCAAATGGAAGGTGCTGATCTGATGGCCTTGGGGAGCAATTCCTCAGAACAGGTCAAAGTGAGTTGTACAAATTTTCTTGCAAGCCCCTGTCAGTCTTCCTGATGACTGACCTGAAGGGACTACCCGAGGGGATCTAGAGAATAATTCAATTTCCAAAGCCATTTAAGCTTTACTTCCACCAGCAAAACTGCTAATAGAGCAAGGTGGATTCTGAGAGGTGAGTTTCTGCCCAGAAAAAAATGGGCTGGTATCTTTCACCTTCACTAAAGTACTCAATAGTCAGTACAAGGCCAGGAGTTGCCTCTTCCTCCCAGCTGATAGGGATGTATTTTCACAGGGGAAGATTGTCTCTCCTGCATTAGCTTTGTGTGTGAATAGTGATACTTGCTCCAGCTGTTTTGCTGTGTGAAATGATGTTTGGTAATGGTGAGAATGATTATGACTAAAAGCATCATTATCATACTGGATCTAATCCAGTAACAATGATGAATGAGGATAAGTGACTGATAAGATTCTCATCATTCTCCTGTAGGAGCTATACTTAAATACCATGCTGCTTACAGATAGAAAGCGTTCTCATGTTTGGGGACGTCTTTACTACCTGCTTTTCTGAATCACATCACAGGCCCTTTGCCCTTCGTGAGGGATTGGTCCCTTGCTCACCATTTGGCTTTGCAGATATTCCACCTGGGTAGATCTGGCTCAGTGCAGCAACTCATTTCCCACTGTATGCTTTCTTCTTTACAGCTTGCATCTCTTAAGTCATAAAATAGACCCTCTTTTCACAATGATTAATCAAAGGTAACAAACTCTTTTTGCCTGTCAACTTCTTGTAACAGAAGGGCCTCACAAGGATCCTTTACTCAGTTTATAGTCTGTATTTTACTCACTGATGCTCATTAGCAGGCCCTGTATAAAGGCAAAGCAAGCTACAGTCTATGCAAGCAAGAGGCAGGATGGCAAAGAAATAAATTTGCAAGCATGAGTCATGAATTATTTCCTATGAACAATTTTCTCCAGTTGAAATTGGCAAATGGAAAGAAGGCTGAATCTAATTCTCTTGATGTCTCACCAGGGATGTATAGCACTAATGCAAGGGGAAGAGGCAATTGTTAATGCTGCCTGTCCTTAAAAACAGCCTCTCTGGGAAGTCAGGTCTGCCCGTAACCCCCACTGCTTTAGCACATCCTCGCCCGATGGTATCCTCTTCCCATGAACCGAGTGCAGGAACAGTCAAGGCCACTTAGTGCTCAGTTGGTCTGAGGCTGGACGTGGGGTTCGTATGTTCTAACTGCTCCTAATTGCAGTAATTTGGATGATTTCAGCAACACACATGCTGCCTGCCAACATGATGAGCACAAGCAGTCTCCCTCTTCTGACATGCCAACAGCCTATCTGGTT